GGGGGGGGGGTCATTGTTGAAATTTTCAACCGCTATTTGTTATCACAGTGTGTGTCTACATTATATTTTCAAGATATTTGTGCAAAATTTCAATATACAGTTCTCCCTCTGTGTCATCCATAGAGGTATCACACATGATCTTCTGCAGAATCGATCCTGATCTAAAATATGGCTCGACAACTAAGTGAAATCAGCTTGATAAATCCATTCCCACAGGCTGACCAGCAGCTCCCCTGTGTAAATGAACAGTAAATGGTGTTGGAATCAACAGAGCTCACAATCCCTAGAGAAGAATAAGTGCAATGAGGGGATTTTGGACATGTATACAAAAGAGTAAAATGCTTTGATAATGATTGAGTAATTCAGGACTTTACAAGTGTGCAGTGATGTGAGGATGTTCATGTCGTAACAAGCCAACTAACATACAGCTTCAGTTTTCCCTTTCCAAAAAAATGAAACTAAACTCTATTGAGTTCTAACCGCTTAAAACATACCTGCTATACCAAACACCACCAATCAAAACAGCACTTTAAACAGACCTTTAGCTTGGCAGTGAACAAAAAGGGGGTCTTGTATTTATTTATTGTTGGGTAGGGATTAAAACCTTATTACATTAATCATCATCTGAAGCATCATCATACACGTTTTCAACCTTCATCTATGACTAATTAAGAGCCTCAAAATGCAAGGCAATGCATTAGACCCCAGTTTTACAATCCTATGGTGCAATATGCACTATTATGGAGAAAGAGAAAGTATTTTCAAAATAGTACTGTGGCTTTTGTTTTAACTAACTAAGGACCACTCATTTTTTTAACAAGGATACAACACAATCCAGAAACTCCAACTTTTAATAGAGACTACTGATCCCCCAGTATCCAAGACAGCTTAAGCTATAGAAGGCACAAACACAAGAAACTAAACTAATTCTCTGCAGTGAAGTGTATAAGCATATTTCCAAATTTGTCAAGCAATTCCTTTGCAAATATGGGGTTGGACTTCACAAGATGCAGCTTGTTTGTAGGTCATTTTTAGAGCATGAAAGGTTAAAAAAAAAAAAAAAAAAAGATCTATAATTTAGCTATTTGAGCCATATCTCATTATAACTTAAAATAATGTACATTTTTAAAAATACACAAACTGTATAAAGAGAACTAGGTAGTGGAGACACTCTGATTTCATGTACCATGCTGCTGAAATTACCTTGCCCGGAGTGGGACCATCATTTGTGCTGCAAATATCCAGAGTGCTTGGTACAAGTGACAGAAGCAGGACTTGCTCTGGGTGCAGTTGGAAAAGCATCAGCAAGGAAATTCTGGCAGTGGGCCTCATCTGTGAATGGGCATGTGGGTTTAATAGTCAAGCCAGCTTCTCTGGTCTTCTTTCTTTCTCTCCTCTTCCTGAAGGCAACTTCTAACACAGCCTTGTCACATTCAAGCACCTCTGTGGCAGCAATATGTTTCTCTATCATCTATTTATGTGCTTCTCTGCCCAAGCCAGGAGACTGACAGAAAAAGCCCCCATGGCCACACCACAGCTGTGCTGCCAAACCCTTATATAACACACAGCTACAAACTGAAGCAAGCAGTTGGCACCAATGACTATGTGAACCATGTGCTGTGTTCTTGGTGCTTGCACTCTCTCTGATCTGTTGAGTTCATTTTGTCATCTGATTCCAACTTGCTTGTGGCGTTTGCTTGCGGATGCTGTGTACATATGTTTTTGTGCCCATGAATTTGGATCTGCGCTTTATTTTGCAGCGGGATTTCTATATTGTCATGTGGTTTCCACAGTTTATTCACCATCAATGACATCTTTATTTCCATCTCACTGGAATGTCTCCGATTGTATGAGATACGACTCTGAGGGAACGGCTAAGATCGAGCCTGTGACTGGTTATAGATGGCGTCTCTGCCCAGCTCTTCTCCATGCGTGGAGACACTTGATGATTCACTTCCCCCTGGCTCTTCCCATAAAATGCTTCCCAATCTGCAGAGCAGAGGCCCCGGAGGAGAAACGGGAAGAAGGTGAAGATGACCTCAGACAAACTGTCACTACACATCTGTTCAACACACTCCAGTAAAACGATTCTTTTTCTTCTTCACACAGTGAACTTCAGACATACATAGTTATACTGAGATCTCTACCCCACCTGATGGACAGAATCAGCACAGCTCCCCTACAGTGGAGCGCTGGCTAGTCCGCTGTCATCTTTCCACTTGTGTTTACGCAACATTTAAAATAATTTATTATATGTTTATCTTGCAACATTATATGAAAGTGAAAGTCTCTGTAGTCACTTTTCCTAAATAACCTAACTATATGAAACCAATAGATTCTAAACCAATAAAAGGAGGCTTGTTCAAGAGAAGAGGACATAGGACCAAGTATCAAATTTAACCAGAGGTTAAATCTCCTTAAAGCTTTAAATCTCTTGGATGGCTTTAATACATTATAGACAGTTTTCTTGTGAACGCATTCAGCAAGGACAACAGATTCTCACACTGTAACGTTATTCCTCTTTATAATGAAACAAACATTTACCACTGCATGTATTTTAGTAGCACAAACTGGAGGGGCATGTTGGTGGTAAAGAGAGCCAATGTGCATACCATGGAGGTCGCATATCTTCTCCTTTGCCAGCTTTTCCAGTATTTCCCCATCAACAGTAAGCTATTTAACACTTTTTTTAAAAGTTGAAGGGTAAAACCAGAATGGCAACAAACGTTCGCCAAGGCATCCAGCTTTTCTCCAGAAACCAAACTGTGGCTGTTTTATCTCTCAAGTCCCTCTCCCATACTCCCATCCACGGATGTCTCTTTAAAGCTACCCGTAAGTGCTCACGTTCTCTCTTCTTTCTTCAAAAAGAAACACACACAAGGTCTAGGCATCCAGCCAGGGCTACAAATATTTAAACTTGAAGAAATTACTTCCCGAAAAACAAATATCTGCAGGTCTGGAATTCAGGTTGGGTTTCTTCACTTGAAGTTTTAACACTAAACTACCAGACAGAGAAATGAAGTATGAATAGAAGGTGCGTGTGGGAGTGCATGTGTGATAGAAATAAGAGAACAGAAAAGGTCATTAAAAGAAGATTAAAGCAAAAGCAAAAGTATGCAGAGTCATGAATACAGGCCTGAATATTCCAATAAAAATCCGTTGCAAATAACACTTACTTTCTTGCTACAAAACTGAAATAATTAATCAATTATCAAAATAGTTAGATTAATCTTCTAGTCAATCAAGCAACTAATTGCCACAAATCTATTTCTACAGTCTTCTTTTGGTTGAGTTTTATATTGATTGATGATTTACTGTCACTCAGGGTCACTGTTCACACAAACTGTCATTTTGTTTCCCTTGTCAAATCTTATTACCTTGTGCTATTATTAATATGTCAGATATTTTCACTATACCAGCCACCATAAATTGTTTTTCCTTTAACTTGGAGAATAAAATGATCCACCGTACCTGGAAGTTGCCCACCATGATGAGTCCTGCAGCACTGATCCAGCCCATGGAGAGACTCGCTGTGTTGAGAACACCGTTCTGGTGCTTCTCAATGACGTGGGCATAGCGGAGCAGCACAATCACTATAACTACAAACACAGAAACACACAGAACAGAAGAGTCAGTTATTGGTGGTTCTGATGTTCAGCAGATAAACAGTATGTTCAAATCACTATAACGGTAGAACAGTGAAATACTGTAAGAAAGGAGGAAAAGGTTAACATTAGGCTTATTCTGGAAAATTACCACGCAGGCTGGTTATTTTACAGTGCCTGGCTTCAATTTAACACAAACACCCGGCCCCTCCTATTGCCAAGAAACACAGGAATTCCTTGGAAGCAGAATGAAAATTACAGGAAGCCGAATTTCTCTGCCTAAGAAGTGGAAACATGAGAGGCAGAAGACAGTGGGAAAGAGGGAACGATACATGGGTGGGGGTTGCACTGAGTCTTGTGTAAGATTAAAAAGGTGAAAGGAAACAAAATAAAGCACATGGGACAGATGACTGCTGATGTGCTAATGGGCTGTGACTGGGGGTCTTGTTGATGCACTGATGAGCTGATGCCTGCATGGTTTCTCTTTGTTAGCTCCTCCCGACTGGTGCCTGACAAAGGTTGACTGGACTTGGTGAAAGCAGAAGAGAGGGGGAGAGGGGAAAAGAGGAGGCTGAAAGAATTAGAAGGGACAAGGAGCCCCTCATGTCTTGACCTGAAGCTTATACATAGTCTCAGAGACTAAACTGTTACGTTGCGAGACAGGCTTTAAGAGGGTCTACGCTGCCAAAAAATAAATAAAAATAGAAAGAGTTGTCACAGAGAGGAATGAATAAATTCAGTGCAGGACTTAACAACGTAGAGCTTTGGTTCCAATAGAGGATAGATATGTTGTGGCCCATCTGGCTCAGACACATCTTAGAGCCTGGCCATAACCTCAGTATCAACCATTAAAGATTATTTATCATAGGGCTGTTCTGATATATGCATTAACTTTATTTTTTTATTCACAGTGATTCCAATTATCTTGTGCTAGTTATTTTATTGTAGCAGATTATGTTGCTTAAGATAAGGCTGACTAATGGGCACAAATATAAATCTGGGGCAACGTTTCAACAAGATGAGACAAATCACCCACAGGGCTGAAAACACCAACCATATCAAATCAATTTTATTTATATAGCACTTTAAAAACCAACATCCAGTTGTCCAAAGTACTTTACATGGCAGAATAAAATCACAATAAATAACTAGGTATAGAGCATTGCAATAATCCACCACATCCATCCACCGCTGCAGTCTTATGTTACCACATTATGCTATCTTAATAGAAATTCTGGGAATATAGGATAAACTGTGAACTAAATCCATTTAGTTTGAGCAAACGCAATAACTTTACAATCTCCATGTATACCATGTAAATAAATCCCTAATACGTTGCCATTAATTACAAGAAAAAAACCTTAGCATCCAGTTTGATTAATTATATCAATATTATTTATTTAATTAGGACCCACACAGATAAGCATTGCTACATATAGATAAGCAATGCAGCAGCTCAGTCAGACTGGCATTTAGCTGAACATACTGTAATGTAATAAAAATGTGTACTGATATTATTTTTGTTCAGATCCTTAAGCCCTACTTAGTCACTGTGTGTTTTTTGTATTTGTGAGCTCCCCTGTGGTCCCTCAGTACTAAAACCATTTTGGCAAAGTGATTTCAATTATAACCATGGAAAACACACATAGTGTCTTCAGGCTCGGAACAATCTTGTCAGCATTTGTTCACATACTCTTTCATAAAATGGAGAACATTTTGAGTTGCTGAAGGGACAATGTATTCAACTGCAGTTTATCTTATTAGATTATAGCATCTTGGGGTCTCTGCTGCAGACTGGCTGGCAGAAATGCAACAAAATTACTTTTTCATTTTAAACAAGTATGTTTGAACATGCTGGCATTTACATGAAATGATGAAAACTAGGCATAAATGTTAAATACAAGGAAGAACATCCCCCCCCCCCCCCCCCCTC